ATGCGAACAAAGAAATGAGACTCTCCGAGCCACTTGCCGCTGATGATGAAGCTGCTCTAGTGTTTTGGGCGTTTCCCGACTGGTTATTATGCGGTTGAGGACCGCTGTAGCATTGTTCGCGCTGTTGCTTGCTTGCGGTTGTTGAGCCTGGCAGAAACGTGCTAGCATTTCTAGCACGTTTCTTCTAGCCTAGAAGGGGATCATGTACGGCAATTTTACGCACTACCTGAGTAGCACAACGGAGAGCCGCTAGTACTGCTGAAACTTGGGTAGGTGATAGAACACGAGCCTGATATAACAAGAAGACCTAAAACTAACGGAATTGTGAAATATCTATTCACCTGGTTGATCGGACCACCCGAATTCTCTTTGGAATCTCGAGGACACTAGGCGTATCGAGGTTGTTCCGCACAGTCGTAAACCGCGTATGATCGCGCACAACTTGTGCGCGATATTGATTTGGGTTTGCCAATCTCGCGCATGAAGGAAGAAGCTCAGATTCATCGTCAGGGGTTCCGAACAATGAGAACTCTCTTCAATCGCCATTGGAAACTCGAGGACACGAGGCGTATCGAGGTTTTGCGCTATCTCGACTTGCTTTATAATCCCGTGGATGACGAAAGATGCTTTCGGAAAGAAGCTCGGATCCATCGTCAGGGATCCCAAACAATGTGCCGCGCGCGAAAAAAAATCCACGTGCGCGAACAAATGTGCCAGTCAAAAGAGGTAGTTCACGCGTACACTTCGACACGCCGAAGCACAACGAATTGATCATCCTAGTGGCTTACAATGAAACTCCTCGTAACATCACTCTGGTTCTTCTCGTGCGAGCTTCTCTACGTTGAAGCAGAAGTGGACGAAAGTGGCCATTTCAGTGCGCTCGGTCCTGTGAACGGCGATCCTAACGACCGATTCTATTTCATGCAGTGGGCTTATCTTGAGGCCATCTCTGTACCGGAGGCTTGGGGTATCCTGGACTCTATTGCCGAGAGAACACCTGTGACCATCGCAGTTATTGACGACGGAATCGAGACCACTCACCCTGACTTGAAGGGTACCGTTATCAAGGGTTACAACGTCGTTGATAAGAATGATGATACCAGTCCTCGAGGACCGCATGGAACCGGCATGGCGGGCATCATTGGTGCTATCAGAAATAACAAGATCGGTATGGCGGGTATTCTGGACAGTGTGCGCATACTGCCCATATTCGACGGTGAAGTTCCGAGTTTTCCCGCACTCGAGGATGCTTTCACCTACCTGATCAATGGGACGAAAGATCATGTGAAAGTTATTCTCATGAC